ACACATTTTAGAGAATATTGTGAATTAAGGTTTCCACCCCAAGGTGCATCCTCAACGTAAGCAAACAAAGGGTTAAAGTCAATGAACTTAGTTAACGATTAAGAAAAAATAATCCCCAAGAAATCATGATGTACCAAATTGTGCCATAAATGTTAAAATCTTCTAGCTTCTCCCTTGAGGGACATCTTCAAGCTTTGTAAGTTCAACTCAAAAATTAATGCAGAAGAACTCTGGTGAGGGAACAACTCCCTAAAGGTGGGAGCCACTCCCATAAGACCCCTCCCTTTCTTGTTCTCCCCTTCCCAACGACAGGGCTCCCCGTTTCCCAACCGGAGCACCATCCCAGGGGGCGCAGGGGTGACGCCGTGGAGCTGGGACCTGGGGGGTGGAGGGTGACTCCCTACCCTTTCACATAAATGTCGCTCATCTTCTCCCCGGTGATGCTGAGGTCGTCCAGGAGCACATCCTTGGTGTTCCAGATAATACAGCGCAGGAAAAACCTGCAGAGAAGGTGACTCAGAATCACGCGGACTGAGAGGCCAAGAAGTCAGCTCAGCCAAGAGTCTGAAGCTTGCCTGGCTGGACAGCCGGCCAGGCCCACACAACGGTGAGGTCTGAGCCACCCAAAGCCCGTCCCAAAAGCCACCTCCTGGTCCCACCCGCCACCCTGCTCAGCTCTGAGCCCGGGCTGGGGGACGTCACCTTTTGGCTCTCCGTGGGGTGATGTTGAAGGGAGGTCCCGGCCGCCCCAGGGCCTTAGGAAACAGGTCGACCCACATCTGCAGCTTCCCCTGGGGAGACACAACCCGGCTCTCTCACCACCCTCTTCATGCAGCCAACATCCCCCAACCACCTGCTCCATGCCAGATGGTCAGCGCACAGGACAGAGAAATGGCCCTGCCACGCAGAGGCCAACCACCTGTCGGGGAGGTGCCTCAACGGGACTACAGGGCCAAGCACAGGCAGAGCCCACCGCCCCACCGGCCGATGACTTGGGCAGTGCCTGGAGGTCAGGGGTCAGGGCAGCTTCCTGGCGTGGTGACGTGGGCTGAGTCTCAGTGCGCCAGGTGGAAAAGGGGAGGGGGGCGCCCCGGCCGAGGGAATGGTGCCCACAGTCATGGAGGGTCAGACAGCGCGGTTTAGTCATAGGAGGCTCAGAGGTTTTCCACGACAGGAAACCACACTGCCTGCCAGCCCTCACCTCTCTCCCTCTCTGCAGGTCAGCTGTCATCGCTGCCCCAACTTAACAAAGGAAGAGCGGGGGCTGACGTAACTTCTTCAGGTTCAAACAGCTAGAGCATGGAAGGGCTGATGTCTCAGCACCTGTGGTGCCACCCTGGGGAGCTGGTGGCCACACCGCCAAGCGGAGGAGCGCTCGGTTCGCGACAGCAGCGAGGATGCTCTCTGGGTGGCCACAAAGGCACCTTCATGGCTGCCTCAGCCGGTCTCTGCCTGTAGCCTTTTCTCTCCTCCTCCTGCTCCAAACCCCAGCACTGAGCTCACCTGCTCCGGGAAGCCGCCCGTCTCAGCCCTGGGCCCGAGGTCCCTCGGCTCACCCTCCCTCTGACTGGGTGTGTCCCCGGCCCTCCTGAGGACTGCTCTGCTGCTCTGTCATCCAGGCGAGTCACCCTGCCTGAGCTCCCCACTGCAGCCAGCACAGGGCCGGTGACAGAGGAGGACACCTGGGGCCTGGCTGAAAGAGCTGCCCTCGTGGGCGGCAGAGGTCTGGCCTACACGGAGATGGAGGAGGCTCAGGCCCAACCCCCAGGCCCTGAGGGCTGCAGGGAGGCCAGGGGAGGCCAGGGGAGTCCAGGCTCAAGAGGTCCCCTCTCAGGCCACCAGTGGTGACCACTCACACTGTGGAGAAACAGCGCAAGGAGGGAGTAGCCAAATTGAGGTCCCCATCAGTGCCTCTGGGATATCCACGCTGTCCCTAGAGTCAGGGGCTCTGGGGCCCGAGGATGGAGGTCCTACCTGCTCAATGTCCGGCTGCAGGGGGCTATAGAGGGGCCGGGACTCCACGTGCTCAGGGACCAGGCCCTGCTGCTGGAGGACGTGCAAGGCCAGACGCTCCTCCACTGGGCCCAGGTGTGGGTTCGGGGCCCTGCCAGCGTCTGCCACGGAAACAGGAGACAAAAAAAGTTGCCAGAGCTGAGTGAGCAAGAGATGGCAGGGCTGCCTGGGTGCCTGGGGAAGCTGTTAACTCCGCAGCCTCACCCCAGCTCAGACACACTGCTTCTGGCCGTCAGGCCCTCACTGTCTGTAGGGGAATCCTTGTTGTCCACAGGTTCCGGGCTTAAAATTCAGATTCCCCATCGCCATCATCTCTACCACGCCTCTTCCGCAAGCTCTTCTTCCTTTTTTCCCACCAACACAAATTTTCCCCAACTCGCCAAAGCCCACCCCTTCCAGGAAGCCCTTCCTGACTGCTCTCAGCTCTGAGCCTCGGCAAGCTCTTCTCCCAGATCAGGCATCTAAACGTTCCCAGTACTCCTCTGGATCATGCAATCTCTTGCATTAGGAGCAGAGGCTGAAATGACGGCAGTAACAGTGAACACTTATAAAGCAGGAGCCAGGCCTTGTTCTTCAGAGATGTTAACAGGTTTGATCCACAGAGTAACCCAAGAAGATAAGTGCTCTCATTACCCTCGTTCCACAGATGACAGAGATGAAGCGTGGAGCAGTCCCGCAGACCAGCAGCAGGGCAGCTGAGATCACACGCTCATTAGGAAAGGCACATAATTGGATGTGAACACCCCTCCCAGCCCCCTCGTGCTTCCCAGTACACCTGGCCAAGGGGTGGGTCATAGGCTGGTGCTGTGGGTGGGGTGAGGACACAGGGGTGGTTCTGGCCCTGATAAGCCTGGCCGACCAACCAGCACCATGAACTTGGACCCCCCATGACAGAGACCTGGACTAGGGGTAGGAGGGTCAGGTGTGCCATGTTCACCAGCACACACACACACACACACACACATTCATCCAGCAAACCTGCCCTGCCCATTTTAATAGATGCCACGTAGGAAGCAGCATAGCATCCGAGAAGGACCACCGGGCCAGGAAACTGGTTCTTTCTGTTCCTAACTGGCTGGGTGACTTTGGGCAGGTTGTTAACCACTCTTAACCTAAACGGCCTCATCTGACAGGCAGATGTCAGGCCCCATCAACCTCGCTTTCTGGCTTTCCTGTCCTATGAATTTATGACCATGAGCCCTGGTCCCAGTGCTTAAGCTGCTCACAGGCTAGCAGAAGGAAATGAGACCACCCCTAAAACAGACCATGTTCTGCAGGAAGAGAGTACAGGGCGGAGTGAGGGCCTAACGGAGAGGAGCCTGGCTCAGCCATGACCTCGGAGAGTCAGACAAACAGAAGGAGGGGGATCTGGGATGGGGGAGCCAAAGCCTCATTCGCCTTTTATAACCTCAGCACCAGGTCTGACATCAAACATCTCTGAACCCAGCAGGAGGTGAGGGGCCAGCTGGACCTGTAAACACCTCTGAGGAGTCTGAGCTGCTCTGGGTGGGCAATGCGGGCCTGCGGGCATCTCAGACATGCGGGGAGCACATGGCAGGACCCGCCACGTGAGCACTGAGCAGACCCAGGGGCAAGAGGGGGGCAGCAGGGCTTCCTGCCACCTTTTGGATGTATCAGGTGCAGGAGCTGTGACTCGGGGCTCGGAAGGTACCACTGAGGTCCAGCTGGCAGGCTAGTGCGATGCAAGGAGAAAACTGCCTCAGTGGTGGGCTGTACCCGAACTCTGACCAGTCTGATCACCCAAAGCCAGAAGCAGACCAGTCCTAACCATGACCCCGACCTTGGCTTCAGACTCACCCCTCATCTTGCCCTCGGATGGGCCCCAATCTGGCCTTGGACTGAGCTCTGACCTTGAACCACCCTGCCCCCGGCCCTACCTTGACCTCTCATTTTCACAACGATGTCCCAGGTAAGTACTGGTGCCAAGAATACCAAGTGCAAGTTTAGCCCGTCTGTGCTGCCCTGGAGGGACCCGAGACCACAGCGCGCTGGTGCAGGTTGTGTCCGGCGGTCATGTCCGGCAGGTCATGTCCGGCAGGCCCCGTCCGGCAGGCCCCTTTACTGCAGGGGGAGGGCCAACAGGAGAGGAGGCGGTAGAGACACAGCTCACCTATCTCTTCAATGGTGTATTCTTTATCCTGAAACACCACGCGGTCTGTCCGGTACACGGGGGCCTTGACTCGGTGCTGCTGGCAGAACAGGTGGAGGAGCTGGGAGGGGCGGAGCTGATCCCTCCACTGGTTGGGTCCAGAGCTGAGGCCCAAACACAAGACAAAGATGAGACGTTCTGGGACACCAACGAGGGGGAGGGGCGTGCAGTGACCCATGTACCCACCCTCACGGCACCGCCCCACCTTCACTTTCACCGCAGGCACCCTGTGTGACTGCTCATCATGACTAGGGAGCCCATTTTACACATGGAGAAACTGAGGCTCCGAGACAGAAGGACTTCCTTACATACGCACGGAATTGCAGC